ACTCATGCAGTAAAAACACGCCCCTTTCTGTAAAAGCAGGTTTCATGTTTTATTGAAAACAAAAATATTAATAAGTTATTTTTTGTATTTTTTCTTATTTAATCTTTAAAATATTGGAATTTGTTCATAATTTCATGTTTGATTAAATATTTTCTAGATTAGATAACAGCAGATGATGATGATGATGATGGATCTTCCTCCTCATGACATCATCATCATCACTTTCATACAAAATGAAAACTTTATTCCGTCCGACTTTATTTCAAACGTTATAAAATGTTTAGTTTATCTCCTCTGGTGAAACTATTTAATCCTTTAATCAGATTATATAATCCAGCAGTTTCTCTGGTTCTGAGAACTTTCTGCTGAACGTTTTAGGCCTCTGGTTCTGATCCAATAATCAGTTCTTCCAGAGATCAGAACCCGGTTCTGCATTGAGAGACAAACGGTCCGATGACCCAGTTGGTTCCGACTGGAACCTTAGCACAGCAATGACGCCCTCTGCTGGATTAGACCAGGATCCAACCGCTCCTTTGGGTCCTGAGATCCGGGTCAAACGGACCAGAACCAGAGGCTGAACACAAATAGAACATTTATAAGAAACCTTCAGGCTATAATTTAAAAAAAAAAGAACTTTGTACAAAGCTTTGGTTCCAGTTCTGCTAAACGACCCGGTTAATACCAACTGGGTCAGAGAGGAGTTAGTAGAACCATGTTCTAAGGAGCCCGGTTCTGTTGCCAATCCGGAGCAGATCCAGAACACTGATGTCAGGAAATGAAACGGGTCCAAACTGAGCATTAACCAGCTGGGTTCAGCCTCGCGTCCTTCAGCGCCACAGGAGGGCAGACCGACCCGGTTCGTGTTCATCCAACAGAACCGGACCTCTCCACAGAGGACTCCAGACTCCTGATGTCCTCCTGGGCCTGATGGCCGATCAGAACCAGTCGTCAGGGCTACAGTTTGGTCAAATGGTACCGGGCAGCTTCAGTTCTGAAGGATTGTTTGACCCACAGGAAGCTGGAAACCAGGACCAGAACCGGCCGCTTGGTTCCAGGAACCTTCAGGTTCTGCTCGGTGGCTCCAGGCGGCTCCATTGGACCGTCTGGACGGTTAATGGTCTCATGGGCTCGACTGGGTCAGTGTCAGAGTTCTGACGCATTCATAAAGAGTTCATTCACGAAGGAGAAGTTAGAGGGCGAAGAAATACTGATCAGGAACCAGAACCAGAACCAGGAGGATGAGGTATGGAGAGCAGCAGAACCAGAACCAGCTGTCCGTGTTGAAGCAGCACCAGCCTTGGCCACTAGATGGAGCCAGTCTCTCTGCTGAGGAGCTGATCAGGTGAGGTTTTCTGGAAGCAGGTAACAGAAAATAAATGTTTAAATCCGTCCTCAGCGACGCGGCGGGCTGGACGCCACGAGCGGCTGGACGCCATGAGCGGCTGGACGCCATGAGCGGCTGGACGCCATGAGCGGCGGCAGCCACGTTCAGGCGCTGCTGTCTGAGAGTCTGACTGGAGCCTGGTTTCTTTAATCCAACATGGCGTCCAGCTGGTCAGCCAGGTCGTCGAACATGTTCCCGATGTCGTCCAGGATGGTCCCTGCTGACCTCACAGTGCTCCCCCTGCTGGTGAAACAACATTAAAACAACAGGACAAAGATCCAGCCAATGATATATATAGATATATAAATATAGAATATTCACCCCCCGGAGCCGCCGTCCTGGATCAGCTTCGTCTCTACGGCTTCCAACGCCGCAGCAAGAGAGGTGCTGGTCTGGTCCAGTCTCTGCTGGACCTCCTCCGTCTCACTAGAAGTCTCAGGTGTGAGACTGGGTCCTAAAGGAAGAGCCTGATGTCTCCTAGCAGCCAAAGAGGGGCTGTGAGGGGCCGGGGCCGGGGGCCCCTGGGGGGCTGAGGAGGAGAAGGCCACGCTTTGGACCACACTGATGGTCAACGTGGGAGAGGAACGTCCTGCTGAGGAAAACAGGAGTCAGAACGAGTTAAAAGACGGAGAGGAATCAGGTAGAGACCAGAGAGTCCAGACCAAGACGACCAAGTCTGGGCGAGACTAACGAGTCTCTGCAGCATTAAAGCTTCAACCAGGAGGACCACAGACCCTCTATGAGTCAGTTCCACCTAAGGAAACTTCATAGACATTTCTAGATCAACTTAAGACAACTCAACATGTTCCAGACGGTCAAACTCAGGTTTGGTAGATATCGAGTCTAAAGTTCAAGGTTTAAATGAAATGGAAGCTTAGACTTAGAAATGTCAGGTCTAAACTGGGAC